CTCATTTCATCGCCCCTCCTGTAGCTGTTGTGGTGAGCTCAGGAGTTGCAGTTATCCCTTAAAACGCTCTGTGATGCTCATCGCCTCTGCGTGAACTGTTCATCTGTCCAGTAAATTGTGTGTTGCAGTAAAAGGTGTTCTCTTATGGCTCTTGTGTATTTTACATTGTGCCTAATATAATACCGTAAACCTTGAATTACACTATGGGGCCCATAGGAAGTGCCCCTAGAGATGCTGAACCTTCTCCCAAGAAGCAGAGAAAGCCACAACTTTACAAAAAAAGCTGAATTGCTTGGTATGTACCATAGACTGTCAGTCGGCTGACATTTCAAGATAAATGAATCCAGTGTAAGAAATAGTGTAACAGAAAACTCGTGAAACCACTGCTGCAGCTACGCCAGCAGGCATGAAAACCTGGCACGTTTTGTTAAATCCTTTTTAATCTCATATTGCAAATGAAGCTTTTATGTGAGTACAGTATTGCTATAAGAAAGACATACCTATAAACTCTAATATGATTCAAGAAAAAGTGAAGTCATTATCTGACAACTTAAAGCAAAAGGAAGGTGAAGGATGGTTTGATAATTTTAGAAAGAGATTTGGCTTTAAAAGTTCCAGATAACAGGAGAAGCAGCTTCAGCTGACCAAGAGGCAGCAGATGAGTTCCCAGACAGCATTAAGAAAATCACTGAGGGCCAGGCATGGTGGCTCTCACCTGTAATCCCAGCACTTTGGGAGGCTGAGGCAGGTGAATCACCTGAGGTCAGGAGTTTGAGACCAGCCTGGCTAACATGGTGAAACACTGTCTCTACTAATACTACAAAAAGTAGCCAAGCATGGTGGTGGGCACCTGTAATCCTAGCTACTTGGGAGACTGAGGCAGGAGAATTGTTGAACCTGGGAGGTGGAGATTGCAGTGAGCTGAGATGATGCCACTGCACTTCAGCCTGGGCCCTATTCTTAGGAAAAAACATTCCACAAAGGACATTTATTGGTAAGGAAGAGAAGGAGCACCAGGACTTGGAAAGGGATAGATCAACTCTGCTGGTTTGTGCAAATGCAGCTGAGCTTGTGATCAGAACTGCCCTTATCCATAAAACTGAACCTTGAAGGGAAAAGATAGACATCACCTGCCAATCTTTTCATTGTTTATTAAGAAAGGAGGACAGTGAGAACCTTTTCCTGGATTGGTTCCTTTGATACCTTGTCCCTGAAGTCAGAAAGTACCTTGCCAGTAAGTGACTGCCTTTTAAAGTTCTCTTGGTATTATGCAACGCTCCTGGCCACCCAGAACCCCCTGAGTTTAACACCAAAGGTGTCAAAGTGGTCTTGCCCCAAAACAATGCCTCTAATCCAGCCTCTAGATCAGAGGCTTATTACACATAGAACTCTATGGAAAGGGTTGTTAATGCTATGGAAGAGAACTTTGATAGAGAGAACATCATGAAAATCTGGAGAGACTGCACCAATGAAGCTGCCATTAGCGTTATAGGAAAAGCCATGCAGACCATCAGCCCTGAAACAGTTTCCGCTGGAGATAACTGTCCAGAGTTGTTCATGACATCACAGGATTTATGACAGGGCCAATCAAGGAAATCATGAAGAAATCGTGGCTATGGCAAAAAAAGTTTCAAGGTATGGATCTTGGAGAAATTCAAGAGCTAACAGACACCACACCAGAGGAATTAACAGAAGACCACTTGATGGAGAAGCCTTACCAATAACAAACAATTACCATACATTTTATGTGCTATATGTATTAATGGTTTATTCTAACAATACAGTAAGCTAAAGAAAAGAATGTTATTTAAAAAATTGTCAGGAAGAGAAAATATATTCAAACCAATGCCGGACAATAAGGAAGAAGACATAGAAGAAGCAGTGCCAGGAAACAAATTGACATTAGACAATGTGGCAGAACGATCCTGATGACTCAATGCTTTTGACGTCTTTCACAACATGGATGCTTTTATGATACAGGCACTGAAACAAAAGCAAATGGTGGAAAAAGGATTGGTACTGTATGGAAAAATGTTTAGAGAAATGAAAAAGCAAAAATGTCAGGCAGAAATTATGATGTGTTTTTGTAAAGTTAGATCAAGCAAGCCTGCTTCTGCTACCTCCCCTTCCACCTCCTCCACCTCTTCTGGCTTGGCCACCACTGAGACAGCAAGATCAACTTCTGCTCCTCCTCCTCCACAGACCACTCAACATGAAGATGTTGAGAATGAAGGCCTTTATGAATAGTGAATATATTTTCTCTTCCTGATAATTTTTTAAATAACATTTTCTTTTCTTCAGCTTATTGTATTGTTAGAATAAACCATTAATACATATAGTATATAAAATGTATGGTAATTGTTTATGTTATTGGTAAGGCTTCTAGTCAACAGTAGGTTTAAAGTTTTTGGAGAGTCAGAAGTTTCATGTGGATTTTTGACTGCATGAAGGGCCGGCACCCCTAGCCACCACGTTGCTCAATGGTCAACTGTGTATCAGACTTTCATTTGTAGACTTTACTTCAAAACCTGCTTACTCATTGACAGAATAATTGGGAAGGCCTAAATCTAAAGGACTCATTCTTACATTAAAATGGTTTGTTTTTGTTTTGTGATTATTTGCTGAGCAGAAGCTCCTTTGATACAGTCCCATTTATTTACTTTTGTTTTGTAGCCTGAGCTTTTGTTGTGACATTCAAAATATTGCCAAGGTCAATGTTAAGGTGCTTTTCCACTATGTTCTCTTCTAGAAGTTTTATGATTTTTGGTCTTTCACCCATTTTGAGTTGGTTTTTGTGTATAGTAAAATAAAGGTCCAATTTCATTATTTTGTGTGCAGAAATCCAGTTTTCCTAACACCATTTGTTAAAGAGATTATTATTTCCTGATTATGTTCTCGATGGCTTTATTGAAAATTAGTTGTCCATATATATTTAGATTTATTTCTGAGCTCTATACTCTGTTTAATTGGTCTGTGTTTTTGTTTTTCTGCCAGTACCACATTGTTTTAGTTACTATAGCTTTGTAATATAATCTTAAATCAAGTATGATGCCTCCAACTTCATTTTTCTTAAACGAAAAAGCAACCTATGGGCTGGGAAATAATTATTTGCAAACCACATATCTGATAAGGGTTTAATATCCAAAGTTTATAAAGAACTCTTGCAACTCAATAGCAGAAAAACAAATGACCTGATTAAAAAATGGGTAAAGGACCTGAATAGACATTTCTCCAAAGACAACATAAAAATGGCCAAAAAGCTATATGAAAAGGTGCTCCTTTTCATATATGATTAGTGCACATCACTAATCATAAGGGAAATGCAAATTAAAACCACTGAGCTAGTACCTCATACCTGTAAGAATGGCTGTTATCAAAAAGACGAGATAGCAAATGTTGGTGAGGGTGCGAAAAAAGGGAACTGTGTGCACTGTTTGTAGGAATGTAGGTTGTTGCAGCCACTCTGGAAAACGCCATGGAAAACATTGACAATAGAACTACAATATGACCCAGTGGTCCTCCTCCTGGTATATACTCAAAGGAGAGAAAATCAACATCTCAAAAGTCATCTGCCCTCCCATGTTCACTGAGCATTAGTCACAACAGCCAAGCTATGGAAACAACCTAAAAACCCATCAATGAACAAATTAATAAAAAATATGATACAGGAGTGTGTGTGCATATGTGTATACACACACGTACACACAATAGAATATTCAGCTTTTCAAAAGGAGAGCTTGCCATTTGCCACACTGTGGATGGACCTGGAGGACATTATGCTAAGTGAAATAAACCAGACATACACACACACACACATACAAAGCTGCAGGATCTCACTTCTGTGTGAAATCTGTGTCTTAACCAGAGCTCAAAGACACCAAGATAGATGATGGAAGTGTGGTTAACGGGATAGGCGGGGAGGGGGAGGAAATGGGGAGATGTGGGTGAAAGGATATGAAACAGCAGATGCTAGGATGAAGAATTCCCGGTATGTAACATGCAACACAAGTGCTAAAGGTAATGAAACCATAGTATATTAGGGATTTTCGTGAGCTACATAGATTTTAGCTGTTCTTGTCACAAATAAAATTAGCGATATGAGATGATAGATACACGAATGTGCCTCACTACAGTTATCAGTACTATTATCTTCATATCTGTAGGTATGGATCCCATAAGATCATGTTACAAACTTCAAGTATACATAATACACTTAATTAAAAAAAATAGTAGGTTTTTGTGGGAAAAGAATCAGCTTTGACACCTTCTGCTGCAGTGTGACATTGCTCTTTATTACTAGTAGGCTTTTGAAAATATTTGTTGATATACTTTGTTACTTAATGATGAGCTCATCTTTCAATTCTATCAGAATGGTATCTGAAAACAGAGTTTGTCTGTGAAATAAAATATTTGATGGCAATTCTGGATGTATATTTCCAGAATTGTTTGTGTGTGTGTGCATATATACATATATATACACATACACAATTAGAGAAGAACTTATCAACAGCTATAAAAATCTAAGTATTTGAATTGTTTAAATTCTAAGCTGATGAGTAGGAAGGAAAGTATATTGTATGTACCTATCAAGTTTATGGGGGAGGACAATAGTGCATCTTTTATTTCTTCATTCAATTTGGAAATTCAAGGTAAGGTTGAATTACAGAATCTATACTCCTTCCTTAAAATTAGTTATCAAACATAAGCATATATTTAAAACTGTTCACAGGATACTATGGAGGCTTTTGATGTAAATAAAAAGTATGACATAAGTTCACTAAGATGTTAAAAATCTACAAGACAGAAGAGGAAAATATGCCTATTTTATAAAGCTAGTTCCATAAGTTGGATGACGTTTTGTCAGCCATCTTGGTTGTTGCTGTTGCATTTCATCAATGACACTAATCTATAGACTATATACTGTCTTTCTGCTCTGTGTAGCTTATAGCTGATTACTGACTCTGAGTTAACATGGCACACCTGGTCATCTTGTCTTGTAGGCTTACATGTATGAAATGGGCTCCAGCACGTTTTCTCACCGGCTGGCTGGGCACACAGACATCGTCACCGGAGTGGCCTTCAACCCATCAGCACCCCAGGTACAGTCTTGCTGAGTGGGCGGGGCACCTCTGCTGCACACAAGTCTTACATTATATATTTTTATCTTTATGACTTTATTTTGGTGAAATCTTACAGTATTTAAGGTTACATGCCAGTGTTCACTGACTACAGGGAGAAATTGGGAAACAAACTTCTACTGGGGAGAAAAAGAAATAAACCTTTATTGTAGGAAAATTAATCTGGAAAAGTTTCTTTATAATGAAGGTGTTTGCCACTCAGCACTCGTGCATGTTTGATCCGAATGAAACAGGAATGTATGGGAAGACTCATGGACAAATACAGTTACATGGGGCACTAACATGGACACCAGTGCCAGCAAAAAAGCAAGCAGCAGAGCAAGTAAGAACAGGATTTTGAAAATTCTTATGGAAAAAAGACCACAACATTTCCAGAAACTTTCTTAATTAGAAAAAAACATGAAAATAACCATTGCAAATCAATTGTATATAAAAATTAATGGTCTTCTGTTAAATGTAGAGAGAGATTTTTAGCAAAAGATTAAAAATATTAGATATTGGCCAGGCATGGTGGCTCACACCTGTAATCCCAACACTTTGGGAGTCCGAGGCAGGTGGATCACCTGAGATCAGGAGTTCAAGACCTGCCTGGCCAACATGGCGAAACCCTGTCTCTACTAAAAAATACAAAAATTAGCTGGGCATGGTGGTGGGCACCTGTAATCCCAGCTACTCTGGAGGCCAAAGCAGGAGAATCTCTTGAATCTGGGAGGCGGAGGTTGCAGTGAGCCAAGATCGCAGCACTGCACTTCAGCCTGGGCAACAAAATGAGACTGTCTCAAAAAAAAAATAAATTTAAAAAATAAATATTGGGTATTAATTAATCTCCAGTGTTTGGGAATAATTTCATTTTGTCTCTTTAAGAATGAGGCTTTGATTCAGAGAATAGCGTCATTCTGTGACTGTGTGCTCTGGCCTAGTGAATGTGACCAGGTGGAACGGCACTCTACATGTGTCTTGTGACCCCGTTCAGGGCACGTTGCAGTGCCTGGCACAAGTGGTCCTGCCACTGTGTACTGAATGTTGAAAATGAGTAAGTGCATCTTTGTTATCACGGACTAGAGTTCCCATCAGCACTGTGGTTTGAAGGCTTCGAGATACTCCAGAGTTCCATCCTTGGCCCTAATTTATCTTTTCAGTTTGCTGCAGATGAGAATTTGAATTTAAGTTTTCCTTCCCTATTATAAACAATACTGAAAAGTACATCTTGATGATGCTTTACACTTCCCATGATGAGACTGTGCCATGTACACTGTAAAGCACCTGCTTTTCTAGATAATACTTGTGCCATCACCTATTTCTGCATTTTTAAAATGTACTGTTTTGTGTTGTATTCTTTTTTAGTCCTTTGAACAGCATTTGGGCAGTGAGATGGAGGAGTGGTCAGGAAAGAAAGATGAAAAGTGCAAAGCTAGACCCAGCAGGGTGGATGGCGGGGAGTGGTATAGTGATTTATGGGGGGAATCAGATGTTAGTTGTCTTGACACTTCAGTATTTGGCATCAAAATGCCTTTTAGCCTGATTAAGGGAATTTTTTTGACTACTTGAACATTTTCAATGAAAAGTTGTGTAGGTCTCTACTGGCCTTGAGATTAATGAATAAAAGAAGTAAATATGGTGTAAATATCGTTCTAAGAAAGAAAGAGGAAAAAGCAACAAGTTGTAGTTGTCATGAACCTTGCTTCTTGATGAAGGGCTGCTAAAGATTAGGCAGAGAGAAGCCAGTTATGTATACATATTCATCATATTGATTCATTAAACATAATGATATAACACTGAATTATATATATATATTTCACTAAGTTCATTATACTTATTCATGTATATAGGAGTGAGTATAATTATTGGTTCTTTGTTAATTTTTTAAAATTTCCTTTCTTTATTGATATTAGTCCACTTTCTTCCACATATATCACCTCACTACTGTTCCTCTGTTTCCCAGCATTGTAAATCAAACAACTGGAAGTATTTTAGTTGTTATTCAGTTGTTATTTAAATGGTATTAAAATAATTATTATGACAACAATAACTTTTAAATTATGTTTGCTGATCATGTAGGTTTTCTCAGGTTTGGACAGTATTAGTTAAGTATTGAAGAGACAGTTAACCACATAAAATTGAGTAAAAGTTAAGATTTGGAAACAACAGGCAGGAAAAATTTTTGTTAAAAGTAAACATGATAAAGAAGCACTTGGGATGGAGGGACAGGACACTGAAAATCTTCTCCTTCACAAAGGCAATGAAAACAGTAACAGTAATTGCCAAAACCTGCTTCCTTAGAACTCTGAAATTAACCAGAGGCTTGCAACAATCCAAAAAACATGTATGAAAGAAAAATGGCTGAGTCTCAGTAAAACAGCACCCTTTGAAGCCTATCCTGCATAATTTAATAAACAAGGAGAGCTTCACTTTAAAATCAATACCATTGGGTAGCAAGTAAAGTTCTCATGTGAAACACAGGTAAACTTGGAGGTAAACTCATATTTATATAATATGTGATTCCATTTTGCAGTATATGAGGGTGCTGCTGTTTTGAAGGAAAGATTGACAGTACTCTCCTAAGCATGGTTTATCTTGTTTATGATATAAAAACACACATACAAGGAAAACACGGGAACAAGTATGGTCAAATGCTGGAAGTCTGTGCCACAAACACCAACAGCATTTCCCCTAACAATCGGATCTGGGTAATGAGATAAATATTGGAGCTGTGAAAATTGGGGAGTGAAGCAGTGAGAGCACAGGTCATACTTGGGGAATTGCTACTTACTTTATTGATTATCAACTATTCACAATTTTATAGGACAGGTCCAGACCTGATGCAGGAAATCCCAAAATTGGGGCTTAACCTGGGAGGGTTCTTGGCTTTGCTTAGGGAAGAATTCAAGAGTGAGCTGGTAGTGAAAGAAAGCAAGTTTTTTAAAGCAAAGTGTGCAGCAAAACAGCAGTTGCACAGACAGAGCAGGGCCACGCCACTGGTGGAGCTGCTGGCCGCAGCACATGTGGGTTGCTGGTGGGCATAGTTATACTCACTCTTAATTATATGCCAAATAGCGGGTGAGCTATTCATGAACTTTCTGGAAAAGGGGTGGGAGTTCCCAGAACCATAGACATTAACGTCTGGGTTGTTTCCATGCATTTGTAAACTCTCACCGTGTCAGTGAGAGCGTCTTATGCAGATGAATTATAATTCGTGCATAATGGATAATGAGGGCAACCAGAGATTTGGTCCCAGCTGGTTTGGGCCAGTTCCTGTGCTACATCCTGTTTTGATCAGCAGAGTCATGACCTAGGCTCTGGAAACAAGCCCTGCTGACCCCTGCCTCAGACCCTGTAATTGTTAATTTCTGATGGGTACTTCTTAATGTTCTCTCTCATATAAATTTGATTTAAAATATGTATCTTATGATAAATAAATTTTTAGCTCCACAGTCATTACTGCTACTTTGAAGTGGGCTGTTTTGTTAGATGGTTTAAGTTTCTCTAATCCACCTCCACATTACAGCCTCATCAAATGATCAGACCTTTCATTTATGACTTCATCAAGTTTTTCTTGATAAAATATACAGGTGGTCATTGCAGGATGACATCTGATGCCAGGAGTAAGCAGGTTTTGGGAATGGCCAGTTCACTATTGACTGTTGTAACCTGGTGGAAAAATGTCACAGAAGCACACCTAATGCCACTGACACCCAGCTTGTGGTGACCTTTGCAATCAGGAGAAACTCATGGAAATCGGCTCAGCCAGGAGGCAGACTCTGGCTGCTGCCACGTACCTAGGGTGCTGGTGAGAGTCCTTACATTACGGACCCGGAGCGTGATGATATCTACTGCAGCTCCCACTTCTTATTCCTTCTTAACACGGGTGTCTGTCGAGCTGTAGACGTCTCGATCTCCCTGAGTCTCTCAGACACAGATGGTCACTAATAGCATTTGTCTGTATTCTACAAGGTTGCTTGGGAGTAAATGATGCCATATAAAATAATAACCAAAGCCACTGTTGAGCATCCCCCAAGAATGAGGAGCTGTTTGAGCGTCTTTCCTCATATTATCTAGTTCTTGTCAGTAGCTCTGTTTGCAGTGTTAGTGCAGCTGTGTCTCAGATGAGAGTGTGGGGATGCAGACACATCAGTTTATATGCAGAGTTTGTACCAGCATCCCGACGGCTTCCAAGCCCACACACTTAAGCCCCACTGTGAGCTTCTGTGCGGGAAATCTGTTAAGCGCTGCACACATTTGTAATGAGATAAAATACATTGTTTTTGCCATTTGCATTTAAATATTTATTTTAAAGTTCTTTTTGAAATTGTAAAAAAAAAAAAAAAAAAAAATCTAGATAGACTTGACATTAATCCAAAATGCAGGTGTGTTTTGCAAGTCCTTCCTGGGCGCTGAAACAACTTCCTGGCCTCTCACATTCACAAGAGGACTTTCTGGAAGATAAGCCTTGCCATTGTTTTTATTTCCCAAATGGCAGCCCACACTGTGGCTATGGATAAGGAAGTAAACTTTATGCTGACCTCTTACCTAATGCACGGTGTAAGCACCGTTATTTCGGGACCCTGTCACACTTTCACAGAGCGTGCCTTCCAGCCTGAAATCTCAAAAGGACCCGCGTTTCCTCACCAAGCATACTCCACGGGTTAGCACTGGGGAGTGACGACACCAACGTCCCAGCAGGAGGATAAAACACATGTTAGAGAAACGCGTTTCGTGGAATCAATAAGCGATAGACGGATGGAGAGAGGAGGAGAGGAATTTTTTTTTAACGTGAATTGGCCCACGCAGTTGCAGAGGCTGAGAAGTGCCACGATCTTCCGTGTGCAAGCTGGAGCCCTAGGAGAGCTGGTGGTGGTGTTCCAGCCGGAGTCCGAAGGCGTGAGAATGGGGGAAGAGTTGCGGGTACTGAGTCCCAGCCCAAGGGCAGAAGAAGACCAGAGTCCCGGCTCCAACAGGCAGGC